ATAATAATTAAAAATTGTGGCCAAAAATTAAAAAAGATAAATTTGTCAATAAAATTAAAAATTTCAATCAATTAGTAGTTTTGTACAGAAAGTTATTTTAGGTAGCTTTTCAATTCGTTAGTGGTTTGAGTCCTAACCATTATCTACTAATCTTAAATTATTAAATAAAAAGTTTTATTAAACACATAAACTGTAATGGTTTTAAAATAAATAAATTTACCAAATCCTTATTTTTAGTAGTTTGTGCAAAACCACTAACTATTACCTTTAAATCACTAAACTAAACATGCTCTTAATGGCTGGATTTTATATATAAATATTAATTATAAAGTGATTTTTTACTTGGGATTTCCACAGATGAAATTAGGAGAATTTTAAAAATAATATAATTGTAATATCACTTGGTATTATAAATTTATAATTATGACATGTAATTATATGATTAATTTTTTTATTTAAGTGGTTACATATAATATTATATGTATTTATTTGTTTAATATCATATTATTATTATAAGTTTATAATCTTACATTACATTATAATTATAACATTTTAGGAATAGTTTAGGAGTGGATGGTGAAATGGCTGAATTCTATACTTTAATTATCATGTCAAGAGAAGTGACTTAGGAAATTTTTTGCAAAGACTAAATGGTTAATTTCTACTATGAAATCAACATTCAACATGCCGATGTGATTTACCTATGTGATTTAGTGGTAGTTATTTGCGCTCTTAGTTATATAAATAGAGTATTTAATTTAATAGTTAATTTTTATAAATATTAGTTATAAAATAAGTTTTTAGCGTAGTTCTTTAAAAATTGAATTAGGAGAATTTTTAAAAATAATATAATTACAATATCATTATAAATTTATAATTATATGATATGTAATTAAGGAAAATTTTGAAAATAATATAATTACCTTTTCTAAAAATATCAGCCACACCAACGAATTAGTGGATCTAAATGCGAATCACTTTGGATTTCTTTCTGGGTATATTAAGGAGAGAAAGGAGGGAGTTCAAACCCACAGCTTTGAGCCATAAGGCTAGGCACTGCCTGATGTGTTTTCTCGATGGCATTAAATATACAAAAATTTAATAAATTTGTAGCTTGGTGTGGAAGAATGAATCAGCAATGAAAACACAACATTAGCAAAGAAGAATTTGACACAGAATTATAAAATACGGAAACAATGTGCATCCACCAGATATTCATTGTAACTACAACATGTATAGAATATTACAATCCTTCACACCACTTGAGTTATGGCAAAATAAAAAACATATATATAAATAACCTTAACTAATCATCTATCGGCCTTCTTATGAACATTCTACTTATAAATAACCGCGATCTGACATATTTTCCTAGTGTGGTTGCAAAGGACGGACCGAAGATGTGTGATCTACAGGTCGAAGAATAAATCTCAAGAACAAGTTTAGACTGCACCAACATAAAGAGAATGACAGGAATGACAGCAAGCAAAGTTATTGGAATGAAGACCACCAATCGACCTTTTAACATAATAAAAAGAGAAGCACAAAATGCCACCGCCATTGTTGCAATGGAGATGAAGAGTGAACACGCACCAATCATCCACTTAAGGGGTAAGGATATTAGAAAATCTTGATAACCATAACGTGGAGTCAGGATCCCCAAAAACATTAACACTGAACCAGATGCAGTAAAAAGAGAAACTGCATCTGATACTATAAATACCATGAAAGGTACCAGTGTAGAAGATTCACCCGTTGAGTTCAAAAATATGGGGAAGCCAGTATTTTGATCATTACCACCAGGAACAGTAAAAGCCGCGGCGAACATAATAGTTATGATGAGTGCACCTACGACTGTAGAAGATTCTGCCGTTTTCTTCATCCACTCTTCAGCTTCCTTTAATAAATCCTTGTGTTCTCTAGCGAACACTTGGAATGGAGTTTCTCCGGCGTTATTTTTTTGTTCTTTGTACGGCCATGGAACAATGGCTCTCACTGACTGCATTAATTTGTTCCATAAAATTATAGATGTTAAGCAATATACAGAATTTATGCTTCATATATCTAAGATATATTAAAATATCGTATAAATTTTCAAAATATAAAAACTTTAAAAATCAATAAGATATCTCAAGTAAACCGTCCTATTTAATTTTCTTTGGAATATATCTATATGTTAATAATATATCCCAGTCTTGATTTCTAAAAAAAATTTAAGTCCTAATGACTTGTTTTATTTAATTAAAGTTCAATTTAAAACTCAAAACTTTATCCTATTAAATATTGATATATGAATTTCGAAACTGATTATATATTTAATAAGGTAGACTTTTAAATTTTAAATTGAATTTTTGGTTTCTAAGTGCATGTATCAATATTTCATAAGGTAGATTAATTTATGAATTTTAAATTAGGTTTTAATTAAATAAACCGATGTCATTTGACGTTGAGATTCTAAATTTTTTTAAAAATCAAAATTAATATGCATTATCTTCTATATATATATATATAAAGTGCATATCAATTTCAATTCTAAAAAAAATTGGAATCCTAACTTTAAATGATGTTGTTTCATTTAATGAAAATCTAATTCAAAATTAAAAAATCCATCTTATTAAATGTTAATACATAAATTTAAAAACTAATTAATTGAATGAATATATATAATTATTTAATTGATTATAGGAAACTTACCCCTGCTAAGTATAAATTAGAAAATAAAAGTTTCTTAACTAAATGATTATAGATGTTAGATTAACTTAAAAGTAGGTATGCACGATCTACATAAATGAAATATTAAATTTAATAGTTAGTTTTTGAAAATATTAATTAAATGGTGGTGTTTTTGAAGGTGAAACTCTAATTTTTTTGGGAGTCTAGATTGAAATGCTTTATTATTATTATTATTATTATTATTATATGATAGTGTAAGGCATGTCATATTCTTAAAAAAATTTTTGGATAACTTATCTAAAAGCCTACATTTTAATTAATTCAAAAACCGACCATTGGATTAAAAGTTCCAATCAAGTAAATCATGCATGTCAATTTTTATATTAATTTAACACTTACAATTCTTTGATCAAACAAACTCTATAAAAACTCATTTACTTTTATATGTTTTTGCAATATATTATCATGACCATTAGAGAAATATTTAAGAATGACAATAGTTTTAATATTATTAAATAAATTTATAATTTTTGTTATTAGTATTGGAATTCGTTAAAAATTAATTGTTAATTTTTTATCTTTAGTTTTGGTTCTCATAAATTAAAAAATTTATGAAATCCAAAATTAAAAGCCAAAAACCACATTGTGTAACATAAAATTAAAAAAAAAAAAAAATTACAACCATACTAATTGAAGTCTTAGTTAAAGGATGAATACCTCAAACCAACGCAATTCACTTTGCAACTGCAATGCTGGACCAGAAATGTGGCTTGACTTAGAATGAGGAGCTAACTTCGCCGCTACATGTAACATATTGTTTCCATCTTCATCGATGAAATTAACTATATTTCTACCCGTGCTTGCACCAAGTTCACGAAGAAATTGTGCCACTTTCTCTTGACGATTTGTTACAGCACACGCAAACAAGCTTGTTGATTCTTCAGGATCTGTACTGCTCCATAATATATTTTCATTGGCTTTTGTAATTTCTATTACAATATCTGGGTTGTCATTCTTGATAGCCTTAAAGGCTGCTTCCACTGCTTTACTTTGCACAAATTGGTTCTGAGTTAAATTTGATAGTTGCTGACATATTAACTGTATAACCTTACGGGCATACTCGTCCGTCGACTTCTGATAATGCACTAGCCATACTGGTAAAATAAAAAACACATATCTTTGCTTTATTTCTACAAAGAAGAATAAAGATATATATATAGCACAAAAATGAAGGGCAAAAAAGAAGCAAAAAGGCTCATTGGTTAGATGCTGTTGCTTACTATAGGATAGTAAAGGGACCGAGAACACTCCCGACAACAACTCTGCAGTGGATGAGATACATATTTCAGAATTCAAAAAGAATGAGTTTCATCGATGCAATAATTTTTTC